AATCGGAGTATTTCTGGCTACCTATAAAAATGCTGGCTTCTGTTGTGGCGTTTTGAGACATTTTTGGTGTTTTGCAAGGACACTTCCATATCCGTTCCTCTCCCTTGTTCGTTCCCTCCCTTGCGCATGGATGGTCTTCCATTTTCCGCTCTTCCCCTCTGCCTGACTTTTCTCATAAAGTTACATTTCCTTCTTCTGTGCTTTGTTTGGTGAAAAATAAAACGATGAATAATCCAAGGAGCACTCCTCAGCGAAGGCCTCCTTTCCGCAAAGCCAAGGGAATGGGATAAGTTACTCAAGGCTGGAAACACCAGCCAAGGAAGGAAATCTAACTTTAGATTGCAAGCCCACAGTGACTTCTTGCTCGGCGCAGAACATTTACGTGGAACGGTTAAGCAGAAATGCAGAGATGTGATAAGAAGATAGAAATGCACTGCAGAGGCCACTTTCTTCGCTTCAGAAATTCAAGGTTCGGCAAAAAAAGAAATAAATCAAGACCAGGATCGGAGCAAAGTGAAAGGAAAGGCTGTTTAAAGGACAACACGAGCAGCAAAACACACCAGAACACATTCCCAACACAAAGCCTTCTCCCACATGGCTCTCAATGGCTTTTCTCCCTCCTCAAGGCAGGACATTCTTAATGGATCCACAAAGGCTTTCATGGCCAGAATCACCAGGTTGCTGTGAGTCTTCCAGGCATCTGGCTATGTTCCAGAAGCATTCTCTCCTGATGTTTCACCCACTTCTAAGGCAGGCATCCTCAGAGGTTGTAAGGTTTGGGTTGTTGTAGGTTTTTCAGGCTATATGGCCATGCTCTAGAACAGTGGTTCTCAACCTTCCACATACGGCGACCCCTTAATACAGTTCCTCATGTGGTGGTGACCCCCCAACCATAAAATTATTTTCATTGCCACTTCAGAACTGTAATTTTGCTACTGTTATGAATCGTAATGCAAATATCCGATATGCTGGATTTATTTTCATTCACTGGACCAAATTTGGCACAAATACCCGATATGCCCAAATTTGAATACTGGTGCGGTTGATGTTGTCATTTCGGAGTTGTAGTGGCTGGGATTTATAGTTCACCTACAATCAAGGAGCATTCTGAACTCCACTAAGGATGGAATTGAACCAAACTTGGCACACAGAACTCCCATGACCAACAGAAAATACTGGAAGGGTTTGGTGGACATTGACCTTGAGTTTGGGAATTGTAGTTCATCAACATCCAGAGAGCACTGTGGACTCAAACATTGACCAAACTTGGCACAAATATTCCATATGCCCAAATATGAACACAGATGGAGTTTGAGGAAAATAGACCTTGCCCTCTGGGAGTTGTAGTTGCTGGCATGTATAGTTCATTTAGAGTCAAAAAGCAACCTGAACCCCACCAACAATAGAATTGGGCCAAACTTCCCACATAGAACCCCCATGACCAACAGAAAAAAATACCATGTTTTCTGACGGTCTTTGGCGACCGCTCTGACACCCACTCACGACCCCCTCAGGGGTCCTGACCCCCAGATTGAGAAACACTGCTCTAAAAGCATTCTCTCCTGATGTTTCACCACAGTCGGACACAACTGGACAGGAAAACTTTTATTTTGCTTTACCTATTGTTGTCGTTGTTGTTGTGGACTAGACGTAATGTCAGGGGAAACCTTTACTTTTACTGGGTTGTTGTAGGTTTTTTGGGCTATATGGCCATGTTCTAGAAGCATTCTCTCCTGACATTTCGCTAGAGTCAAACACAACTGGACTTAATGTCAGGGGAAAACCTTGCTTTACCTGTTGTTGTTGTTGTTCTTCTTGTTGTTGTTGTTGTTGTTGTGGACTAGACTTAATGTCAGGGGAAACCTTTACCTTTACTGGGTTGTTGTAGGTTTTTCTGGCTATATGGCCATGCTCTAGAAGCATTCTCTCCTAACATTTCGCCAGAGTCGGACACAACTGGACTTCATGTCAAGGGAAAACCTTTATCTTGCTTTACCTGTTGTTGTTGTTGTTGTTGTTATAGACTAGACTTAATGTCAGGAGAAACCTTTACCTTTACTGGGTTGTTGTAGGTTTTTTGGGCTATATGGCCATGTTCTAGAAGCATTCTCTCCTGACATTTCGCCAGAGTCAAACACAACTGGACTTAATGTCAGGGGAAAACCTTGCTTTACCTGTTGTTGTTGTTCTTGTTGTTGTTGTTGTTGTTATGGACTAGACTTAATGTCAGGGGAAACCTTTACCTTTACTGGGTTGTTGTAGGTTTTCCGGGCTATATGGCCATGCTCTAGAAGCATTCTCTCCTGACGTTTCGCCAGAGTCGGACACAACTGGGCTTCATTTCAAGGGAAAACTTTTATCTTGCTTTACCTATTGTTGTTCTTGTTATGGACTAGACTTAATGTCAGGGAAAACCTTTACTGGGTTGTTGTAGGTTTTTCGGGCTATATGGCCATGTTCTAGAAGCATTCTCTCCTGATGTTTCTCCTGCATCTATGGCAAGCATCCTCAGAAGACTGTGATGTATTATTGTTTTTGTTGTTAGCTCTAAAAGGCTTTGTTAATCAATCAGGTAAAAGGTAAAGGTTTTCCGTGACATGAAGTCCAGTCGTGTCCGACTCTAGTGGTTGGTGCTCATCTCCATTTCTAAGTCAAAGAGCCAGTGTTGTCCTTAGTCACCTCTGAGGTCATGTGGCCACTGGCATGACTGCATGGAGCGCTGTTACCTTCCTGCCAGAGCGGTACCTATTGATCTACTCACATTTGCATGTTTTCGAACTGCTAGGTTCAATCAGGGTTCAACCATAATTTCAAGCTATGAGGGACAAAAAGTCGAAAGCTTGACATCCAGCCAAAGGGTTGTATTTCCACGGCTATTACACAAAGTTGGATTTTTCCAAGGGTATGACAAATAAAGAGGCAGCGTGATAGTACAATATAATATAATACAAGACAATGGGATGCGCTACACCATTTTTCTTCACTGGGGAGAGAAACCGCAGCACTGCCTGCTCCCTGCATGCAAATAGCTCTGTAAAACAGTTGCGCCCGTACCTTGGGAAGTCGGATCTGGCCACAGTGGTCCACGCTCTTGTTACATCCTGAATAGATTACTGCAATGTGCTCTACGTGGGGTTGCCCTTGAAGTCTGTTCGGAAACTTCAGTTATTCCAATGGGCGGCAGCTAGACTACTCACCGGAGCGGAATACAGGGAGCATACCACCCCTCTGTTGTGATCCAGTTCCGAGCACAATTCAAAGTGCTGGTTTTGACCTACAAAACCCTATACGGTTCCGGCCCAGCGTACCTGTCCGAACATATCTCCTTCTACGTCCCGCCTCGGAGTTTAAGATCTTCTGGGGAGGCCCTGCTCTCGGCCCCGCCTCTATCACAAGTGAGGCTGGTGGAGACGAGGGACAGGGCCTTCTCGGTGGTGGCCCCTCACCTGTGGAATTCACTCCCCGGGGAAATTAGGTCATCGACATCCTTCCTCTCCTTCAGAAGGAAGCTGAAAACATGGATATGGGACCAGGCCTTTGGGTAATCTGGCAGACTGACAAGGTAACGACGACCAGAATTTGGAAGGACTAAGGAAATGCTGAATAGGCTTACGGATTTTAGAACTCGGTGAACATTGGCCACTAGATTGGCTTTTTAGTTGTTATTGTATTAATTGAATGTTTTAATTATTGTGGTCTATTGCTGTCATGTATTTTATCGGATGAATTGTTGGCATCGAATTGTGCCGGTTGTAAGCTGCCCTGAGTCCCCCCTTGAGGGTTGAGAAGGGCAGGGTAGAAGTGCCCGAAATAAATAAATAGATGAAAATCCAGGATATCATTTTAACACATTTATATACAATTATATTGGCTTAAAGTCAACTTTTAAAATGTGGCATAGACATCGAGAACTGGGAAGCCCTGGCCCTTGAGTGCTGGAATTGGAGGTCAGCTGTGACCAGCAGTGCTGCAAAATTCAAAGAGACCCCAATGCCCACCACCAAGACACTAGACTTGGAGGGTTATCATGGCTTAAAACTGTGGCATAGACACTGAGAACTGGGAAGCTCTGGCCCTTGAGCACTCTAATTGGAGGTCAGCTGTGACCAGCAGTGCTGCAGAATTCAAAGAGGCCCAAATACCCACTGCCAAGACACTAGACTAGGAGGGTCATCGTGGCTTAAAACTGTGGCATAGACACCGAGAACTGGGAAGCCCTGGCCCTTGAGTGCTCTAATTGGAGGTCAGCTGTGACCAGCAGTGCTGCAGAATACAAAGAGGCCCAAATACCCACTGCCAAGACACTAGACTTGAAGGGTCATCATGGCTTAAAAATCTGGCATAGACATCGAGAACTGGGAAGCCCTGGCCTTTGAGTGCTCTAATTGGAGGTCAGCTGTGACCAGCAGTGCTGCAGAATTCAAAGAGGCCCCAATATCCACCGCCCAGACACTACACTTCGAGGGTCGTCATCGTCAGGCTATGAGGGATTGCTTAAGTATACAACTTGGGGTGTCCCCCCCCCCCAACATATTGCAGGAGCAGCTCAGAAGACACAAGCCATGACTTAAAGTCCTTGTAAAGTGATGAGCAACTTCCACATTTGTTGCACACAGAAGGAGTCTGACATCCATTCTTAGAAGCAGAGAATTCTTTACGATCTTCCTTCTTAGGACAGCTCCAGTTCTCTTTTCATCCTCCTCGTCTAGCCTTCCAATGGCCAACGTCTCCAAAGCGCTCGAGTAGTAGCCAATCCCTCGCCCAGTCCCCTGGATTTAGGGTATCCAAACTCAGACTTCCCATTTCTGCTTCTAATGGAGCTTACTAAAATACAACACCGTCTGAGCTCTGTGAGTGCAGCATTCTCATGTCCAAACCCAGATTTCCCATTTCTGCTTCTAACAGAACTCACTGAGATACAGCACCGTCTGAGCTCTGCAAGTGCAGCTTTCTTCCGTCCAAACCCAGATTTCCCTTTTCTGCTTCTAATGGGTCTCACTGAAATACAACTGTCTGAGCTCTGCGAGTGCAGCTTTCTTCCGTCCAAACCCAGATTTCCCATTTCTGCTTCTAATAGATCTCAGTGAAATACAACACCATCTGAGCTCTGCAAGTGCAGCATTCTCCCGTCCAAACCCAGATTTCCCATTTCTGCTTCTAACAGAACTCACTGAGATACAGCACCGTCTGAGCTCTGCAAGTGCAGCATTCTCACGTCCAAACCCAGATTTCCCATTTCTGCTTCTAATAGATCTCACTGAAATACAACACCGTCTGAGCTCTGCAAGTGCAGCATTCTCCCGTCCAAACCCAGATTTCCATTTTCTGCTTCTAATATAACTCACTGAAATACAACTGTCTGAGCTCTGCGAGTGCAGCATTCTCACGTCCAAACCCAGATTTCCCATTTCTGCTTCTAACAGAACTCACTGAGATACAGCACCGTCTGAGCTCTGGGAGTGCAGCTTTCTTCCGTCCAAACCCAGATTTCCCATTTCTGCTTCTAACAGATCTCACTGAAATACAACACCGCCTGAGCTCTGCGAGTGCAGCATTCTTCTGCATGGGTCAACTTGATCCAAAGTACATTTACCCCACCCCACCCCCAAATTGCCAAGAGTCCTTCTAGCCTTGGAAAGGACTAAACGTCGTCCGGCTCGGCATGCGAATAGAGTTGGCTGAGTTTTTCAAACTTGGGTCCCCATTCTTTGATGTCCCCGTAGACGGCGTCTTCGTCCCATCCGCAGGACCCAAGAGAACTCAGGCTGCTTGCTTCCGAGCACTCTCCTTCCGTGTGAAACACCTGCAATGAGTCGCAAGGCAAAGCGTGGTGCTGCTGGTCCATGTTTCTCACCACGCCCGACAGGTAACATCCAAAATCCGTGCTGGAGAAGGAGGAGGAGGAGCCCTTGGCCGCCGAGAGCGATTCTTCCGGCCGTTCCCTTGGAGACGAGACGTGGAGCTCGCAGCTCAGAGGACTCTGCCGCTCGGCCCGTTTCCCTTTCTTCTTGTAAAGAGAATAGGCCGGGCTGGTTTGGAGGGACATCTGCAGCTCCGCCATGTTGTAGGCATCCTAAGGAAGGAAGGAAGGAAGGAGTTGGCACTACGTTAAAGAGGAATTCATGGTTGTCAGGGAATATCAGATTCATTCTCTGTCTCTGGACATTCATTCTCAGGAATGGCTTCAGCTCAGGAGCCAAACGGTTCTGCATAACACTGACTGGACTTTGGCGCCACCGTTCAATGCCTCCTTTGGGCCCTTGCTCCTCTCTTGCCTTTGGATGGAAAGACTTGCAAATTGCGCAAACAACAAATGCAAAACTGTCAAGGACAGTTGTAAAATGAACATAAGAAGTGGAAATAACATTGCTTTGCTGGTGCTGCTTTCTAAAGGTAAAGGTTTCCCCTTCCCAATTGTGTCCGACTCTAGGACTCTGGTGCTCATCTCCATTTCTAAGCTGAAGAGCCAGCATTACCTGTAGACACCTCCAAGGTTATGTGGCCAGACCATTACCTTCCTGCAGAAGCAGTACCTATTGATCTACTCACATTTGTATGTTTTCAAACTGCGAAATTGGCACACACCGAAGAGCTGGTATTGTCTGTAGACACAATTCTAAGTGCTGGTTTTGACCTACAAAACCCTATACGGTTCCGGCCCAGAGTATCTGTCCGAACGCATCTCCCTCTACGTCCCACCTCGGAGTTTGAGATCCTCTGGGGAGGCCCTGCTCTCGGCCCCGCCTCTGTCACAAGTGAGGTTGGCGGGGACGAGGAGCAGGGCCTTCTCTGTGGTGGCCCCTCAACTGTGGAATTCATTCCCTGGGGAAATTAGGTCAGCGACATCCCTCCTCTCCTTTAGAAGGAAATTAAAAACACGGATGTGGGACCAGGCATTTGGGCAATCTGGAAGATAAATAAAGGACTGCGACGACGGATAGGAATAGACAATGTGGAACGAAGTATGGACTCTGAGTTGGCGAACGCTGTGCTTGGGATTGGCTATTGACTGTGATATATATTGTTGTTTTAATTGTTTAACCGTTTAACCGCTGTTTTTATAAGTTTATTGTATTATTGTGTAGGCATCAAATTGTGCCATTTTGTAAGCCGCCCTGAGTCCCCCCTCGGGGGTTGAGAAGGGCGGGGTAGAAGTATACGAAATAAATAAATAATAAATAGACACCTCCAAGGTCATGTGGCCAGCATGACTGCTTAGAGCGTCATTACCTTCCTGCCTCTTACTATGTTGGAAGCCAGCGTGAGTCACCATGGGGAGGTGAGGCGGGATACAAATTAAGTTCTGTTATTACTGTTATTATTATTATTATTAGTAGTAGTAGTAGTAGTAGTAGTAGTAGTAGTAGAATAAAGTCAGGTCTCAGCGGTGGCCGGGAGAGCTTTTGCGCAATTAAAACTTGTGCACCAGTTGCGCCCGTACCTCGGGAAGTCTGATCTGGCCACGGTGGTCCATGCTCTTGTTACATCCTGAATAGACTACTGCAACACGCTCTACGTGGGGTTGCCCTTGAAGACTGTTCGGAAACTTCAACTAGTCCAGCGAGCAGCAGCCAGATTGCTCACCGGAGCAACATACAGGGAGCATACCACCCCCCTGCTGTGCCAGCTCCACTGGCTGCCGGTTCAGTTCCGAGCACAATTCAAGGTGCTGTTTTTGACCTACAAAACCCTGTACGGTTCCGGTCCAGTGTATCTGTCCGAACGTATCTCCCTCTACGTCCCACCTCGGAGTCTGAGATCATCTGGGGAGGCCCTGCTCTCGACCCCACCGCTATCACAAGTGAGGCTGGTGGGGACGAGGAGCAGGGCCTTCTCAGTGGTGGCCCCTCACCTGTGGAACTCACTCCCGGGGGAAATCAGGGCATCACCATCCCTCCTCGCTTTCAGGAGAAGGGTGAAGACGTGGTTATGGGACCAGGCCTTTGGGCACTCCGGCGATTAAATCAGACAATCAGGCGAGTAAGACCAGTAGGATTGATGAAGTGGAACGTAAAACTAGATCTATGAGTTAGCGAACGCTGACCATGTAAGAGGAGAAACTGGGTTTGTATTTGGTTTTATTGATTTTATTGATTTTATGGTTATAATGTATATTTGGTGTTAACTGTGTATTGATGTAATTTTGTGTTTGATTGTTTTTATGATGCAGGCATCAAATTGTGCCTTGCTTTTGTAAGTCGCCCTGAGTCCCCTTCGGGGTGAGAAGGGCGGGGTAAAAGAACCCCAAATAAATAAATAAATAAATAAATTGTTGATACCATATTGTTTTTGTTGACCCTACTTTTCCATTTACAGAGCTGGTTTACTGTTTTTCTTTGAAATATGGTAAATATCCAAAAAATTGAACCTACTGATGCTTCATTTAATATAATTTTATTGGTATCCAGTAGGGCTGGGCGGTTTCGTTTCGTTAATTCGTAATTCGTTAATAATTCGTTAATTTTTTCAATTACAAAACGATAACGAACCATTCTGGCGCAATTATTAAAAAAATGAATTTTCAAAAACGTTTTGTAAATGCTTCGTATTTCGATATTGTATTCGTTTCGTTATTGTTTTGAGGTCGTTTCGTTATTATTTCCGCATGTCTGGGCCAGTTTTATGGTTTAATTAGTGAAAAAAAATTATAATATCACACCAACAGTCAACAACAGAGGGAGAGGAAAGCTTCAGAAGGTTTTGGAGGTTTTTTAGCGTATTTCGCAGTCACGTCCGCCGTTAACGAATCGATTCGTTATCGTTTTGGAAATCGATTCGTTAATTTTTTACCATTTACGAAATTTCGTAAATATCAAACTTTTTAAAAGGAAAATTTTGTAATTATTTTAAATATCGAAACAAAAAAAACCCCAAATACAAATCGATTTTAGAAACAAATTTTTCCGTTGTTACCCAGGCCTATATTCTGCCCCTTTCTAAGGACGGTGGTTTTAGGGGTTCAAACCCTCCCCCCCCGAAATGTTTCAGATTTTTTTAAAAAACCTGGTTTACTCATGAATTTTAACTGGTTAACCAAATCCCCATGCTAAGTCTATGAGATGCAAAAAATTAAGAGTCCCCCCAGAACTGCAAGCACTATCTCAAGCAAATATTGACAATTTATTCACACTGTCATTACTTGCAGCAATAGCCGATGTAGCGAAGCAACCAAGTTGGGGGGGGGGTGTTGAATGCTCTCATTAAGGAGGCCAGACTTGGTGGAGGTGGTTGACAGGGGCGGAGCTGCAGGCTATTGAAGGCTGCTCTTCCCCCTGCTGTGCTCTTTGCTTCAGTGTGAGCTAGGAGGGAATTTTGCTCTGCCCCCTGCTGTGCTCTTTGCTTCAGCGTGAGCTAGGAGGCAGGTTTCAACCCACCCCCCCCCGAAATTTTCAACCCTCCCCGAAATTTTCCCCCCCCCCCCCCAAATTTTCACCCCCCCCCAAATTGTCAACCCTCCCCGAAATTTTTTTCTGGCTACGGCCCTGTTGGTATCTATATAGATTTTGGAATGGACAGTAGCTACTGCATTTCCCACCCTCAGCTTATACTCAAGTTAATAGGTTTTCCCAGTTTTTAGTGGTAAAATTAGGGGCCTTGGCTTATATTTGGGTCGGCTTATACTGGAGCATATACGGTAAGTTCATAAAGACTGCAGTGAGTAACCACTATGAATTTTTTTTTTTCTGAACTCTGTTAAATCATATTGTGAATGGTTTTAAATATATAACTTCCAAAGCTTGGGAAAAAAGAATAGCATGGTACAGGCAATCTGCACCATGTCTCATTTGACTGGTGTTGGGACACAGAGCACTTGACGTGTCACAAGAACAACGTGGATTTCCTCCAGACAGAACCCCCGGGTGGGCAAATCTATTTCCCCCACCCTAAACAATTTGCGGAGGGAGGTAATCGTATTAAGTACTAATAGGATTTGTAAACTTAGCTCTCTATGTGCCACCTTGGCGATAAATATCCCTTTAAGTGTTTCAAACACATTCACGGAAAATCCATTCAACTCAAAGGAAATGCTAGGTGTAAAATATAACTAGGTCTGCACCATGGATTGCTATTGTTGTTATTGTTGTTATATTGTTATACTCCGCTTTTTGTCTCCAAAAAGAGACTCAATGGAGATTCATGCCTGTCCTTCAGTCGAAAAGCTGGGCCCTTATGTCAAATATGTGAGAGGAAGCCACAGAGAGGAGGAGGGAGCAAGCTTCCTTTCTGCTTCCCTGGAAACTTCAAACTACAAGACTTCAAACTATAAGACATTCCATATGAACATGGAGAACTTCCTGACTGTGAGAGCCGTTCAGCAGTGGAACTCTCTGCCCCGGAGTGTGGTGGAGGCTCCTTCTTTGGAAGCTTTTAAACAGAGGCTGGATGGCCATCTGTCGGGGGTGATTTGAATGCAATATTCCTGCTTCTGGGCAGAATGGGGTTGGACTGAATGATGGTCCATGAAGTCTCTTCCAACTCTAGGATTCTATGATTCTACTAGCCATCCCCTGCCACATGTTGCTGTGGCCCAATTCTATCGTTGGTGGGGTTCAGAATACTCTGATTGTAGGTGAACTATAAATCTCAGGAACTACAACTCCCAAATGTCAGGATTCTATTTTCCCCAAACTCCACCAGTGTTCACATTTGGGCATATTGAGTATTTGTGCCAAGTTTGGTCCAGATCCATAATTGTTTGAGTCCACAGTGATCTCTGGATGTAGGTGAACTACAACTCCAAAACCAAAGGGCACTGCCCACCAAACCCTTCCAGTATTTCCTGCTGTTCATGGGAGAACTCTGTGCCAAGTTTGGTTCAATTCCATCGTTGGTGGGGTTCAGAATGCTCTTTGTTTGTAGGTGAACTATAAATCCCAGCAACTACAACTCCCAAATGAGAAAAACAATTTTTTGAGTGAAGGACATACATTGGGTTGTTAGGTGTCTTGTGTCCAAGTTTGGGGTCAATTTGTCCAGTGGTTTTGGAGTTCTGTTAATCCCACAAACGAACATGACATATTTATTTATATAGATGAAATCAGGCGGAAACTTCAAGCAGCCCCGAAGAAGCACCAACTTGTGTTATTAATTTACTCTCATCTCAGGATCCATTTAGCACTGTTATATTTTTACTGCCAGGGAAGGAGAGAGTTCTTTGTGGGATTTTCGGTGCACAAATGACTTCTGGCCTTGAGAACGACGTGACGGGACTTGTGAGGAAGGGACACCATTTGCTGCCGTGCCTCAGGCAGGAAAGTGTCAGGTCAGCTTCCATCTTACACATGTTGTCCTACTCAAAGACAACGAGGGGGGAGGTTTTTTAAGTTGGCGCAAAAGAGCATCCAATGGCATTTTGTTTCGACAGGAGCTTCTGTAGACGAGAGTCTTGTGCAGGCAGGTAGCGATGGGATTTAAGCACCCTCGTGCTACCTATACCTTAATGTTTACATCAACATCTTGATGGATCCAAAACACTCTGGGAAGAGAAGTCTAAATAGTTGCCTGTTCTACTAGGCAGGCAATTATGTGAACCGCTTCTTTCATAGTTCTGTAACTCCATGAACTGGACTTGGCCTCTTGTCAGCCACCTCAAGTCCCCATTGGGAAGATGCTGGCAGGGTATAAATAAAGATTGGGTTGTTGTAGGTTTTTCGGGCTATGTGGCCATGTTCTAGAGGCATTCTCTCCTGACGTTTCACCTGCATCTATGGCAAGCATCGTCAGGAGAGAATGCCTCTAGAACATGGCCATATAGCCCGAAAAATCCTACAACAACCCAGTCTCAGGGTTCAATCTAATGTAAAGTATGGGCTGTGAGGACTTAGCCAGCAGTGAGTCCCTAAGGATATAGTAATAACAGATAAAGAAAGCTCTGGGTTGTTGTAGGTTTTTTCGGGCTATATGGCCATGGTCTAGAGGCATTCTCTCCTGACGTTTTCGCCTGCATCTATGGCAAGCATCCTCAGAGGGAGTGAGGTCTCTTGGAACTAGGAAAATGGGTTTATATATCTGTGAAATGACCAGGGTGGGACAAAGGACTCTTGTCTGCTGGAGCTAGGTGTGAATGTTTCAACTGACCACCTTGATTAGCATTTAATGGCTTGGAAGTGACTGGGGGAATCTTTTGTTGAGAAGTGATTTGATGTGCCTGATTGTTTACTCTCTGTTGTTTTGCTGTTGTAATTTTGAGTTTTTTAATACTGGTAGCCAGATTTTGTTCATTTTCATTGGTTCAGGACCTGATGAACCAACCTGGACCCAGCATAATGTTTGAGAACACAGAAATGCTGGACCACTCTCACAACCACCATGTCAGGCTACACAGAGAAGCCATTGAAATACACAAGAAGCTTGTGGACAATTTCAACGGAAAGAAGGAAACCAGGAAAATGAACACAATCTGGCTACAGACCTCACTACCTCTGAGGATGCTTGCCATAGATGCAGGCGAAAAATCAGGAGAGAATGCCTCCAGAACATGGTCATGTAGCCCGGAAAAACCTACAACAACCCAGTGATTCCGGCCATGAAAGCCTTCGACAATATACTCCATGAACTGTTACAGTAAGTCATAACAGGATCAAGTATGTGTATGTGTTAAAGAAAACCTTATATTGTTGATTATTATGTGCAGCTGCTAATGTAGGCCAACTAGTAAGTTTGGACCATATCTGATGGGGTATAACTGTATGGATTTTAGAATACAGTTCAGCTTTTGCTCTGAGGAGCCTTTGCTCGGGCATTTTGCTCAACCATTTCTACTGCTCTCTCATTGGGATGAAGAAGCCTTATTCTGTATTGCTTACAAGGACTATGTCAGTTTGTTGCATTGTTTGTAACATTGCAAGTTTATGTTTTAACTCTGCTGATAAGAGTAAAGTTTTCTGTTCATTATGGCGGGAAGCCTTAGTATTGAATGGTTGTGCTGTTAAAGTGTGAAGTATGGAACCCTGCACAGACGGTCGGTCAATGCAACTTGAGCAACGAAGGTGTCATCTCAACATCTTTAAACTTACTTGCCAAACGACGCACAGTACTCACATCAACACAATCACCATAAACAGCTTGCATTCTCTGAGGAATCTCCTTTGGGGTGACACCTTCTGCTGCCAAGAATTCAATGACTGCATGTTGCTTAAGTTGCATAGATTGACCATCTGCGCAGGGTTTCATACTTCACACTTTAACAACACAACCGTTCAATGCTAAGGCTTCCCGCCAAAACGGAACTGTTGAGGAGAGTCTACTGAACAAGCCAGTACCTGCCGCATACCAGTACTGCCATCTCTTGAGGCGTTACGAAGGTGGAGGCATTACTTTCCATTCAATCCTCATAACATGAAGTTTTCCTTCTGAGGTTGCCTACTATATTTGCTGTAGTGCACCTTATTCCTTGTTGTATGTTGCCGTTTACAAGCGTTGCCTTGGTCTGCGTCTTCGTGACCTTCTAAACCTGCCCACTTATTTATTTACTCACTGCCTTTATTTCCAGCCAAAAATTGACATTCGAGACAGGTCACACAAAAGGTGTCGTACTTCCAAGACTTTGATCTTTTCTCTGTGAGGAAATGTAAGCGGAGCTTGCGAGCTGCGTTTGCACAAAAGCTCATGTTGTAACACCTTCAAGGTGCCACATGGCTCTTTGTTCTTTGCCTACGACAGACTAAAGCAATTTCCCCTCTCTCTGAAAAATCAAACTCAGATTTTTGTTTGAAGAAACCCAGCAGTGATATCAAATCAAACCCAAGCAGATGTTCCTCAAACCATAGCTAAGAGTGGAGGTTCTCCGCCATGCATGCTTACTCCAGATCCAGAAAGAGAGAGGAAAGTCTTACCTGGTCTTGCTCCCCACCGCCTTCTTCGTTGTAGTTGAGGATGTTCTCTCGGATGTCCTCCAAGTCATCGTGGCAGGTGGTGGCGTGGTAAACACCCCCATTCTTGTTTTTGTGGCTCTTCCACCGAGTCCACAGGAAAAGGCCGCTGAACAGAACTGGATGAAGAGAGAGGGCAGAAATGCAGTAGAGAACTTAGAAACCAAGCCCAAGCGTCACAAGTGGAAATGCTGCATCTCAACCGGAGTCCACCTGCCTTGCGACTTGAGAAACTGCAAGTCGCTTCAGGTGTGATAGAATTGGCCATCTTTAAGGACGTTGCCCAGATGTTTTACCAACCTGTGGGATGCTTCTCTCATGTCCCCACATGAGGAGCTGGAGCTGACAGACAGGAGCACACCTCGCTCCCCAGATTCGAACCGCCAACCTTTTGATCAGCAGTCCTGCTAGCACAGCAGTTTAACCCATGGTGCTTCTGGGGGCTATTACTACTACTACTACTACTACCACTACTACTACTACTACTACTACTAGCTGTCCCCTGCCACACGTTGCTGTGGCCCAGTCTGTGTACATGTGTTTTGTGTGTGTATATATGTTTATGTGTATGTGTGTATATATATATGTGTTTGCGTATATGAGTGTGTGTATATATGTGTATATGTATATATGTGTGTATGTATATGTATGTGTGTATGTGTATATTTGTGTGTGTATGAATGTGTGCATGTGTATATGTATATGAGTGTATTTGTATATGTATATATGGTGTAGTTTTTGGGTTTTAAGTCTGTTCCACTGGGGTTTTGTGTGTGTGTGTGTTTAAGGGTGATGGACACTCGTTGGACTGCTAGCTGTATTGTGTCCAAATTTCGTGTCAATTGGTCCAGTGGTTTTGGAGTTATGTTAATCCCACAAACGAACATTACATTTTTATTTATATAGATTATTATTAATCTCTTACCTGCCTCTCCTTGTGACTCAAGGTGGATCACAGCACAGTCAAAACACACAAACATTGCAAAAAAAAAATCCCACAAACACACATATTAAAATGTATTTCTATTAAATAGACATTGAAATACACAGGGCAGAGATTAAAACACAGAGCATGAGTTTCACATTCACAATGACACCTGACTGGGTAAGAACAGATGTGTTGACGTATTTATTTACAGTGCATAGTGGCTGCCTTGTTGGGATCGGGCCTTGAGAATGGACCCATTCTGCCGTGGGCATCGCTTACGTGACTTTTCCTCCTGATGCTGACATGCCAAATGTCTCCTCTCAGCCTTTGTACCAAAGCTAATGGGATTGTGCCAGTTCAACTGTGCCCAGATTCAGACCTTTAAGTAGACAATCCAATAAGCGTCGCTAGTTTTAGCAAGGGCTTACGCTGTCTTCTCAATTTACTGCTATTAACAGCCGTCAAACAGTTAGAAGATGCGTAACAGAGAAGCTAAGCTCACCCATTTAAGTACAATGCCAACGGTTCTTCCATGGAGCTTACCTATATGTTATCAGGATTAATTTAAGTTATGTATGTGTTTTTCAATGTGCTTCTATGTATTGCAAAGATGGATGCTACTATGAATTGAAAATGCCACGCAGAAATGTTTATACTTTGAGGCTGTGATTAAGTGAACTTGAGAAAAGTAAGATAAGGTTTGTTCTTGCTGAGAACAGGAGGGAGGTGCCAGTCTCAGCAAGAGAAGATAAGCAGATGTGAAGAGGCTTTCGGTTTTGACTAGTTCTTTGTTTTTTTCCTGAATTGTAGCTCGCTGTAGAAAGACGTGTCTGTTGAATGTACTTAGTAAACTTAGTTTCTTTTGTAACTCAAAGCCTGCAGAGTCCTTATTTTGCAACTCAGTGTCTGCTTGATCTAGCATTCCTTCCACTTTGTTGTTGTTCATTTGTTCAGTCGTCTCCAACTCTTTGTGACCTCATGGACCAGCCCACGCCACAGCTCCCTGTCGGCCGTCACCACCCCCAGCTCCTTCAAGGTCAGTCCAGTCACTTCAAGGATGCCATCCATCCATCTTGCCCTTGGTCGGCCCCTCTTCCTTTTACCTTCCACTTTCCCCAGCATCATTGTCTTCTCTAGGCTTTGCTGTCTCCTCAAAGGACTTCAACTTTGTCTCTCGTCTCCTTCCCTCCAATGAGCAGTCGGGCTTTATTTCCTGGAGGATGGACTGGTTGGATCTTCTCGCAGCCCAAGGCACTCTCAGCACTTTCCTCCGACACCACAGTTCAAAAGCATTGATCTTCCTTCGCTCAGCTTTCCCGAAGGTCCAGCTCTCACATCCATAGGTTACTGCAGGGAAGACCATGGCTTTGACTAGGCGGATCTTTGTTGCCAGTCTGATGTCTCTGCTCTTGACTATTTTATCGAGACTGGACATTGCTCTCCTCCCAAGAAGTAAGCGTCTTCTGATTTCCTGGCCACAGTCTGCATCTGCAGTGATCTTTGCGCCTAGAAATACAAAGTCTGTCATGGCCTCCACATTTTCTCCAATCATTCTTGTTGCCATAATCTTGGTTTTTTGATGTTTAGCTGCAACCCGGCTTTTGCGGTCTCTTCTTTCACCTTGATTAGAAGGCTCCTCAGCTCCTCCTCGCTTTCGGCCATCAGAGTGGTGTCATCTGCATATCTGAGGTTGTTAATGTTTCTTCCAGCAATTTTCACCCCAGCTTTGCATTCATCAAGCCCCGCACATCCTCGCATGATGTGTTCTGCATACACGTTAAAAAGGTTGGGTGAGAGGATGCAGCCTTGCCGTACGCCTTTCCCAATCTTGAACCCGTCTCTTGTTCCGTGGTCAGTTCTGACTGTTGCTACTTGGTTCTTGTCCAGATTCCTCAGGAGAGAGGAAAGGGGGCTTGGTATGCCCATCCCACCAAGAACTTGCCACAATTCCTTCCGCTGGGTATCGTCAATCTCTGACATATGTGTGTATGTGTCATGAAAATATAATATACGGGTTTGATAAACGTGGATTTAATATGATGTGTGGGCATGAAATAAATAAATGAATGAGAGCTAATGATTTTGGAGACAGCATTCTAAAAGATTGAAGCCTGCAATGACTAAACCATTAACTACCTGCTTGATGGACTGTAATTAAAACCTGCTAATGAGAGCTGAAATGGTAAACTGTGATAAGAACGGTGACGGTGATAAGTCAAATGTTTATAATGATAAGAAGGAAGTCAACACATCAATCCAGAAGAGTCAACATCTGCCAAGAAAGTGAGATGGAGCCATGATGGAAGATGTCTATCATTAATATACATCAGCAGAATCTGTAGGTACTTTACTAGTCACTTCTCTCCAAAATAAAGAGTACCCAGTTGCCATCCACTGACAACATCTACCATCCATCTTCACCTCCAAGTCTGTGTGAACCAGTCACTCCTCCAAAGTGTCTGCTCACATTAAAGACAATCCACTCAACGCTTGCGTTCACACCTCATTCCAAACCATAGTTCATATTTCCCTCAAGTCCATGCCTTCGAATCACCTGTTGATGTTTGGGTCACTCAATAAATTTCCTTTTCTGAAATATAGTTGATAACACCCGGTATTTGTTGGTGATCTCTGTTGCACCTCAGAATAGATTCACCTTGCTGAAATCACCAGAACTGCACACAGGCTGAAGTCTTTTATTAAAAAGTATAAGATAAAAGGTTTAAAAAGCAAGTAATGTTCCAAAGATCAATAAACATAGCACTATAAAGCAGGATTTCAAGAGGCACCAACAAAACAAAGTCCCATGAGAACGTGACAAAATCCCAAGACCATGGACACAAGAACTGCAAGATAATCCAGGCAAATGAGCACAAGCTGCTTGGCTGAGCGAGAAGTTGCTCTGACAAAGGTTTGTTTTCAAATACACTGCTTAATACCCTTTGCAACACATGAAAGCATTTCTTTGGCCTCTGACCTCCTTCTTGTTGGCTATTCTCACACTCCTTCGAACTCTGAATTCTAAACCATCAGCCCGATTTAAGATTCCCGTTTCATCAAGGTCAGACTACTGACCTTCTTGTTGGCTATTCCCACACTCCTTCGAACTCTGAATTCCAAACCGTCAGCCTGATCTAAGATTCCCGTTTCATCAAGGTCAGGCTACTGACCTCTTTCTTGTTGGCTATTCTCACACTCCTTCGAACTCTGAATTTCAAACGGTCAGCCCGATCTAAGATTCCCGTTTCATCAAGGTCAGGCTACTGACCTCCTTCTTGTTGGCTATTCTCACACTCCTTCGAACTCTGAATTCCAAACGGTCAGCCCAATCTAAGATTCCTGTTTCATCAAGGCCAGGCTGCTCGTTAGTGTCATCCTGGTTGCCTTCCTGCCTACTCTCAGGCTGAGAACTGTCCTCCTTTTCTGAGTCAATTTGTACCTGGCTAGTTTCAGTATCCAAAACATCATTCCCTGCTGTGGGAAACTGAACTTGCACACCCTGTTCCTTATTGTCTACAACAGGAACATTTTGAACCTGATTGTGAATCCCATCATCCTCATCGGAGTCACTCCGAGACCCCATCTGAGTCACAACACTATCAGTCTGTGTCTGTGGTCCAGCTGAGTCACAACAATCTCCTTTCTATCCAAGAACTACAGTAATTCCTCGCTACTTCGCGGTTCACTTCTTGCGGACTTGCTGTTCTTCCAATGGGCCTCTGAAAGGGAGGTTGGTGTGTGGGCCGGACCTGAGGCACGGCAGCAAAGGCCCGCTAGTCACGAAGTGTGTCCTATTGTGTTACCACGTCCCCGGAAGTGGTTCTGGAGGCATTTACTGGGTGGACTCGCAGCAGAGGTGTGAGAATAGCCAATAAGAAGGAGGTCAGTAGCCTGACCTTGATGAAAGGGGAATTTTAGATCGGGCTGACCGTTTGGAATTCAGAGTTCGAAGGAGTGTGAGAATAGCTAACAAGAAGGAGGTCAGCAGTCCAACCTTGAGGAAACGGGAACCTTACCCTTCTTGTTTGGCTATTTCTCGCACGTCGTTCAACTCTGAATTCCAAACGGTCAGCCCGATCTAAGCTTCCCCTTTCATCAAGGCCCAATCTAAGATTCCCCTTTCATGCAAGGGTTAGACTGCACATGTGCATGTGAATGCTTCTTAGATATGTTTTGTCGAAGGCTTTCATG